TTGTGAAGTTATGCATATTTGTTTCCAACTAAATCTCTGATAGGATGAAATTTCTCTTTGTTTAGCATATACCCTTTTCTTTTACATCCACTGAATTAAACAAAAACAAAAAAAAATTAAAGTTAGCACGACTTTAGTTTTAAGTTATTTAATCCACTTTCTTTTTGCAGCTTTGTTGAAAACTGTAATAAATCTACACTTCTTGTCAAAGTAGAACAATTTTGATCTATTTCTCCGACAAATGTTTTAAGCTATCGAATCTTTTCTTTAAAAAGCGTTTATGCTTGATCACATTCATAAAGTATAAGTGTTTTGTTAATATGCAGCAAGGGAACCAACAACAGCTAGACCGTCTCACAACGAACCAAAACCCTAATAATTATTCACCTCAGCTCTCATCACCACCTGCTTCTCAAGCTGGCTCGAGCCAAGCTAGAGTGAATTCGATGGTGGAACGTGCTCGGATCGCGAAAGTCCCACTGCCTGAAGCAGCTCTAAAGTGCCCTAGATGTGACTCCACCAATACCAAATTCTGTTACTTCAATAACTACAACCTTACTCAGCCTCGCCATTTCTGCAAAACATGTCGCCGCTATTGGACACGTGGCGGTGCCTTGAGGAATGTTCCTGTTGGAGGAGGCTTCCGGAGGAACAAGAGAAGCAAATCCAACGGTGGAAATGGCGGTGGGAGATCGAAATCTACGGTTGTGGTTTCGGCTGATAACAATAGTAATACTTCATCGCTTACTTCTCACCCAAGTTACTCAAACCCTAGCAAGTTTCTTAACTATGGCCAAATCCCGGGGTTTACTTCCAACTTACCCATCTTGCCTCCTCTACAAAGCCTAGGAGACTACAATTCAAGCAACATCGGTTTAGATTTTGGCGGATTTCAAATAAGCGGGATGAGTTCTAGTGGTGGGATCTTGGATCCATGGAGAATGTCTTCATTGCAACAAACTCAACAATTCCCTTTCTTGATCAACAATACAGGGTTGGAGCAATCTTCAAATGTGTTATATCCACTACTAGAAGGTAATGAAGGTGCTAATCAAGGTGATCCTCAACAAGCGAGTAGTGATAATTCCAGTCAGTTAAGGTCTAAGCCTTTGATGAATATGGCTTCAGGCGGGGATGGAGCCGCGCAACCAAGAAATGTGAAGGCGGAAGAGAATGATCGGGATCAGGATAGGGATGGTAACGGAGTGAATAACTTATCAAGGAACTTCTTGGGGAATATGAACATAAATTCAACTGGGGAGTACACATCATGGGGAGGTAATAATTCGTGGACCGGTTTCACCTCCAACAACTCAACAGGCCATCTCTCATTCTAAGTACTCGGCACTTTTCTTGGTGATTCTTTTGTTGGTGGGGGTTGTACATCGATCACTTGTCATGGGAGTTATTACATGAGGAGAGATCAAACCATGGAGCTACATATATGATCCAAAGGCTAATTTTGGGACTCAAGGGAAAGGTATGGTTATATATAACTTCTATTTTTCGTTTTTATCTTTTTAGAAGTTCTTCAAGGTGTGAGTATGTTAATTGGTAGACTTCTGGTGATTATTATGTTTATCAAACTTTGGTGTTATTGGTTATAGAGGCGTGGGTTATGTATGAGTTAAAGATTTGATGATCAAAACTTTTTTGTGTGTTCATTAAATTTCGATTGAATTCTCAATTTAATGGAGACCCTTTATGAGATGAGATTTATGTAGAGCATGTGATTAAGCCGAATTTAATGACCAAAGGTAAATAATAGTATTCTAGTATAACCTATATGTTAACATGAGAATGTGATTTTACCTCTTTGGTCCAACTTATATTCTGATTCTTTATTTTATCGAAGATCGTCTTCTTTTTCCTTTTTCCTTTTCAGAGACAAAACATTGAAAAAAAGAGGGGCTTTCAATTTTCATAATCTTTGTTATCATATATTCATATAAAACGGATCCAATGTACTATATAGGAGGACTAGATTGTTTGAAACGCAAAAAATTGCATTTATTTATGAATTAGAAAAATCTCACATTAAGGCACAAAATATTATTTTTTAAAGA